GAATATTATTGGGTATTTCAAGGGAAAGGAATTAGAAAAAGTTAGGGGACAATTATTTTTAAACCTCTATGGAATGTTCAGAATTTTACAATACCTTATATTATTGTAAAATATATGTGACAATAAGCATGTATTTTTGAAAAGTTTAACATTTTTGATGATATGATTGGTGATATAGAAGAAAATAAGAACAAACAATAATTTGTCATTTTCTGTGGGTAGAAACGAAATTTTTCATTCTTCTAAAAATAGGTAAGTTGGGGTGGGCTCAGTCGGTGGAGACTATGATTTTTTTTTTTAAGATTTTATTTATTTATTTGAGAGAGAGAGTGAGAGAGCACACAAGCAGGGGGAGAGGCAGAGGGAGAGGAAAAGGGAGAAGCAGCCTCCCCGCTGAGCAGGGAGACTGATGCAGGGCTCGATCCAAGGACCCCTGGATCATGACCTGAGCCAAAGGCAGATGTCTAACCAGACTGAGCCACCCAGGTACCTGAGACTGTGACTCTTGATCTCAGGGTTCAAGCCCCATATTGGGTATAGACATACTGAAACATAAAATGTTTAAAAAAAATAAATTGGGGTGCCTGGGTGGCTCAGTTGGTTAAGTGTCTGACTTGTTTTTGGCTCAGGTCATGATCTTGGGGTCCTGAAATTGAAACCCGCATGAGGCTCCACCCCCTCAGCAGGGAGTCTGCTCAGGATTCTCTCTCTTCCTCTCCCTTCGCCCCTCCCCCACCCCGGCAAATAAATAAATCACTAAAAATAGGGCACCTGGGTGGCTCAGTGGTTAAACGTCTGCCTTTGGCTCAGGTCATGATCCCGGGGTCCTGGGATCAAGTCCCACATCAAGCTCCCTGCTCAGCGGGGAGCCTGCTTCTCTCTCCGCCCCCTCCCCCCCCCCCCCCCTTCCCCCCCCCCCCCCGCTCATGTTCTCTCTCTCTCGCAAAAATAAATAAAAATACTCTTTTTTTTAAAGATTTTATTTATTTATTTGACAGAGAGACACAGTGAAAGAGGGAACACAATCAGAGGGAGTGGGAGTGGAGAAGCAGGCTTCCCGTGGAGTGGGGACCTCGATGTGGGGCTTGATCCCAGGACCCCGGGATCATGACCCTAGCCGAAGGCAGCTGCTTAACGAGCCACTCAGGCGCCCCAATAAAAATACTTTTTAAAAAAATCTCTAAAAATAATAAAATAATGGTAAATTAATTGAAGTAGCCCAGCCCAGCAACTTCCCCTCTTTCGGTATCAGGCTCCCATTTTTCACACTACAAAGACTGAAATGACCTAGGCTAGGCCAAATCTAGTACTTCAGGCCCACAGCCTACTAGATGGGTAATGCTATCTGCTGTGATAAAGAAAGCCAAATGTCAGTGGTTTACCTAACATAATTTGATTTCTTTTTTAATTCTATTAGCTAACATATAGTACATCATTAGTTTCAACTGTAGAGTTCAGTAACTCATCAGTTGTGTATAACACCCAGTGCTCATCAGGTTACATGCCCTCCTTAATGCCCATCACCCAATATCTCCATCCTCCCATCCGCCTCCCCTCCAGCAACCCTCAGTTTGTTTCCTATAGTTAAGAGTCTGTCATGGTGGGGCACCTGGGTGGCTCAGTCGTTAAGCGTCTGCCTTTGGCTCAGGTCATGATCCCAGGGTCCTGGGATTGAGCCAGGCTCCCTGCTTGGTGGGAAGCCTGCTCTCCCTCTCCCACTCCCCCTGCTTGTGTTCCCACTCTCGCTGTGTCTCTTTCTATCAAATAAATAAATAAAATCTTAAAAAAAAAAAGTCTCTCATGGTTTTTCTTCCTCTCTGATGACTTCCCATTCAGTTTTCCCTCCCTTCCCCTATGGTCCTCTATGCTGTTTCTTATATTCCACATGAGTGAAACCATATGATAACTGTCTCTGATTGACTTATTTAGCTCAGCATAATACCCTCCAGGTCCCTCCATTTCGACATAAATGGTAAGTATTCATCCTTTCTGATGGCTGAGTAACATCCCATGCATATATACCACATCTTTATCCATTCATCTGTTGATGGACATCTTGCCTCTTTCCACAATTTGGCTATTGTGGACATTGCTGCTATAAACATTGTGGTCCAGGTGCCCTTTAGGATCAACATAATTTGATTTCTTGATCATATCACATTCCAACGTGGATATCCCTTGTCAGTGGAGGAATTTTCACTATATGGAGATTCAGGAAACTATACTTCTTTTATAATCTCCCAGGGCCTTAAAACTCTCTGGATCCAGCTAACAAAAATAGGAAGAAAGGACACAGAGAAGACACAGCACTTTGTAAACATCTTGGCCTGGATGTAATATACATAATTTTCACTTATTTTCCACTGATGAGAAGTATTCACCTATCCTCACTTAGATGCAAGGGGACAGCTAAAAAAAAAAAATGTAGGCAGGTCAGATACTTGCCAGCAACACCCCTCACTACGGTAAGTGGGAGTACAAATTTTGGGGCTGTCACTACAGTGCTAATCAAAGACTTCTCTGGAGTTTTATAATTGGAGCTGGCAGCGACTTAGATTATTAAAATGTGAGGTAACCTCTTTAGTCTAGAGAATGTAGCCAAAAAACAGGTAAGTCAAATTAGACGAGAGGCAAGTTCCCTGATATTCAATCTATTCTTTCTTCTCTGTATTAGTTATCCATTGCTATTGTAATAAATCTTCCCAAGACATAGTGACCTAAAACAACATTTATCATCCCACAGTATCTGTAGGCCAGAAGTTCAGAAGTAGTTTAGCTGAGCAGTTCTGGCTCACAGTTTCTTATGTGGCTGAAGTCAGTTATCAACAAGGACTATAGTCATCTGAAGCCTTAACGAGGTGGGAGGATTGCTTCCAAACGGCTCACTCACATGGCTTTTGACAGGAGGACTCAGCCCTTTCTGACTTTTGCCAAGAAGCCTTTCTTGTCACATGGCCTTCTCCATAGTCTGCTTAAGCATCTTCTTGACATGGCAGTTGATTTTCCCTTGAATGAGTGATCCAAGAGACACAGTGAGGAGGAAATCAAAATGCCTTTTATGACCTAGTCTCCAAAATCACACTGTCACTCTGCCTTTTACTATTCATTAAAAGTCACATTAGAGAATTTATAGACATTTTAAAGTCACCACACTGTGCAACAGTTGTTTCACGAAGCAATACATTCCTAATTTTACCTAAACTAGCTCAAGTTGGGTTTATTTGCAAATGAGAGCTCTCACCAATACTGGAATCACAAGGCATATACATTAAGAACATTGTACAACCACTTCAGAAAATTCTTTGGAAGTATTTACCAAAACTGATCCTACCCATATCCTAAAATCTAGCAATTCCATTCCTAGGTGTATTTCCAACATATAAGTGAAATATATGTTCTCTAATACACCAGATACAAGAATGTTCACAGCTTTATTCAATAAGAGCTAAAATTCAAAAACAAAACAAATATCCATCTAAAGTAGAACAGATAAATAAATTGTGCAATACCCACTGTGATGGTTTTGTGTCAACCTGACTGGGCCAAGGGCTACCTAGATTAAACATTTATTTATGGGTGTTTCTGTTAGGATGTTTCCGGGTGAGATTAGCATTTGAATTCGTGTGCTGCTGCTCTCGGGCAGTACAGGCAATGCCTTAAGATGGGATGAGGATATGGAGGGGGATTGTCCTCAGTTTTACCGCTCTTAAAATTGGTCCAGGGGCGCCTGGGTGGCTCAGTCGGTAAGAGTCTGCCTTCTGCCTTCGGCTCAGGTCATATGGGATCGAGCCCTGCATCGGGCTCCCTGCTCCACGGGAAGCCCGCTTCTCCCTCTCCCATTCCCCCTGCTTGTGTTCCTTCTCTCGCTGTGTCTCTGTCAAATAAATAAATAAAATCTTAAAAAAATTTTTTTTAATTGGTCGAGACCCTTACATATATCACATGCCCAACTGTTGCTTATAATTTACCTACCTTAAATGAGTGAAAAATCTTTCTATACAATAACAAAATCTAAGTCCCTTTAGCTAGTTCCTTTAAAACTCATTTACCCCACGTCCCGTGTCCCCACAAGGATTGTCGTCAGCCCGCCTCCTTCCAAATACAGAGGCATTTATTTTTTAACCCAATCTAGGGATGCTTGCCTCTTAAAACAATTAAAACACAATATGTCCTATTTTCCCTAGAGAGCCCTGGATTTGGAGTCAAAGATTTGCTTTGGTATTTAGGAACAGTGTATTTAGCGGAGGGAGGAGGTACTTAACCTTCCTGAGCCTCGATTTCCTTATCCGTAAAACAAGCATTAATAACCTATATCATGGTGTTGCTGTGAGAATTTTAAAGGAGAGCCTCAATGCCTTATGTAATTTCCTCTTTTCCTCAACTAGCACTTTGTTCGTTTCTGTTTTTTAAAACTTGTGTCACAGCGTTAACTGGAAGCTGAACTGGAAGCTCCTTAAAGGTAGGGCTTCCTTCCCAATACTCTGGCAGAGAATGAATACATGTTTACTGGATGAAGCACTTCATTTCACTAAGAATATAGCATTTTGACGGTTACAAACGTTCCCAATCAACTCACACCAGAAGCATTTACTACCTATGAACTAGGTATTTAACAGGTACCAATATCCTGGAACTCCAGGCTTAGGTGACGCAAGCAAGAGAACAACACCAGGAGATGCGGTCAACCGGTGACGTACTTCCTGCGCGACGATTTCCCTCCACGCCGGGACTGGCTTGTGGGGGAGGGAGGCTGTTAGTGGGGTTTAGCGCCTTTTCTGGCGGCGGTAGATTTGAAGCGCTTTAAAGGACCGGACCCCGGGAAGTGAAGACTACAGGAGCAGGTAGGTGGCGCGAAGCCCGTGTTGTTTCGGTGGCGTCCTTTGCAGCCGTCCGTGGGTACGAGAGCGGGAAGAGCCCGAGGAGAGGGGCGGAGCCGACGCGTTAGGCCCGGCGGAGCCAACCGTCTTCGCCTCGAGGTATCTGGGCTGCCTGGTCCCTGAACGAGCCCCTCAAGGACCTTGGCTCTGGCTTTGCAGCTGTTGCAGCTGGAGAGGGCCTCCAGCCGTGCCTCCCCGGCCTGGGAGACGGTCCTCCGCCTGCCAGCCCCCGCCCTCTCACTTGGGCGCACACCTCCCTCCCTGACGCATTTTGCCGCACAAGCTGTAATATGGCGGCAGCAGCGGCGGCCTGAACTCTAGGGAACAAGGGTGATTTTTGATGCTTCAAAATCGTAAGACTAATCGCTAATGCGGGGTAGGTGGGAGAATTGGTGGGGAAGGAGTAACCTGACGTCCTGTCAGGTTAGGGTTGGAGACTTGCGGGCGAGGAGCCTGGATCACAGGGGTTAAGATTAGACTGAAAACAGGCTTTCCTCCTACTCCGATATTTTCCTCTCACAGACAGCGGCTATCGTACATAGTTAAGTGATACAGGCCTTTTGACTAAAACTGAAATCCAGGCTCTTCCCTTTTCATCCCAGGGAAGTTCACCCACGTTTCCGAGGAGCTGTGAGCAGCGCAGGCCTCTTAGTAGAAGATAATTATTACTCTTTAGGAGGAAGGCGATGGCTTCAGAGCTCCATATGCCTTGGGGGAAGTGTGCGAATTTGGCTCACCTTTAGTCTTTTAAGGAGCTAAGTCGGGGTCTGCGGGATTGGAGAACTCCTAGTGATTTTGGAAATGTTATAAAAGCACCATTTTGTCCGTTGATTTAATTTATTCCTACAGCAGTACTTTGTTCAGGACCAAGCTTTGCAGTAGTGATGACAAATACGTCCAAGAAAAAATTAAATGTTCTGGACTTTTGGGAGTCCGTTAACTTTTAGTAGCTAAAACCAAATGAGGGGGAAAACATGTGTGCGTGTGTCGGTATTAAAAAAAAAAAGCCGGTAATTTGCCGGTTCGTAAAAATGATGGGTGAGGAGGTGTATGAACATTTTCGCAATAGTGCCGTAAAATCCAGAAAAGGCACGGATATCTAGAATGGCTGCTTCTCTCATCATATTTTTTAAGTATCCGAAAATTTACCCGTTTTAGCATTCCCCCCTTTTTTTAAGATTCTATTTATTTATTTGAGAGAGAGAGAGAGAGCCCAAGAGGGGGTAGGGTTAGAGGGAGAAGCAGACTCCCTGCTGAGCAGGGAGCCCGATGTGGGGCTCGATTCCGGGACTCCGGGATCATGACCTGAGCCGAAGGCAGTCGCTTAACCAACTGAGCCACCTAGGCGCCCTTTCCCCGCTTTTTTTATTTTAACCATTTTAGATAGGATTATTTCTATAATAAATTACTTATCTCTTAATTAGAGTTCATTTTACATCGTTTAAGGTTTTATTATTCAGGATTATAGGTGCCCTGAAATCACAATGGGTCTTGTAGTAGGATTCTGTGCTTTTTTTTTTTAATTGTGTTTACTTTTAAGGTTTTTTTGTCTTTGCAGGCTGTTGTCAGGGTTGCCTTCCCCTGCTTTCAGCAGTGTACAAGTATGCAAGCTTCCTAGTTTAGAAAATTTGGATTTGTTTCTGGCTCAACCATCTTTCTGAACCTCAGTTTCTTCATTTGTAAAATATTTTGATTTCAGGCTATCATCAGCTGTGGGCTTCAGAAATAAATAATAAGGTTTGTTAAAAATTCTGTGTAAAATTGATTTTCGATAAGAAGTCAGTGGTTCTCCTAAAGAACATACATTACATTTATTGTGACTTATTAAAGGCCTTTCATTTTTGGTGCTTATTATTGTGGCCTTGCAGTTATCAGTGGCCTCAGTAAAGTTTTTGTCCTTTAGATATTTTGCATATTTTAAATTAGGTTTTCTGTTAGGCAGCATCCATTGTGCATGCAAAGGAAAATTGGTAGCCGTTCATAATAGTATGAACTAGTCATCACTAGTATGAACCATTAGCAATTAATTCTTCCAGTGTTGCTCTTTTAAGAAACAGATGTTGATGTTTTCCCATTTTTGTTTTTACTAATAGGGTATTTCAATAGAATTATAATGTATTACTTAGTTTTAGTATTCTAATATACTAAGATGTCTAACTTGTCACATTAGGAGTCCATAGATAACTCAAGTGATTTGAAGAGTTTGTTGCAGATTTTTGCTATATTGTGTTACTTCACTTTTTTTGGGCTTTAATATTAGCACCAAGCTTTAGTTTTTATTTAAGTGTCAGTGGTTTTACCCTGGTTTAATGCATATACTGTCTCTATAAGAACTCTGTATTTTTATTTCTGTGGGCCAATATTGCATCTTGAAATTTACTACAGGGAGTATTGTGTAAATACTCAGAGAAAACTTCCGTAACTGGGGACTTTGTACTTTCAGTACCAGACGGGATATCTTTTGTACTTTTTTTTTTATTTGACATATTTGACATATTTTATTTATTTGACAGAGAGAGACACAGCGAGAGAGGGAACACAAGCAGGGGGAGTGGGAGAGGGAGAAGCAGGCTTCCCGCGGAGCAGGGAGCCGGATGCGGGGCTCCGATCCCAGGACCCTGGGATCATGACCTGAGCCAAAGGCAGGCACTTAACGATTGAGCCACCCAGGCGCCCCTGCACTTTTTTTTTTTTTAAAGATTTTATTTACTTATTTGACAGAGAGATAGAGAGGACAAATAGGCAGAGGGAGAAGCAGACTCCCCACCGAGCAGGGAGCCCGACGTGGGGCTCAATTCCAGGATCCTGGGATCATGACCTGAGCCGAAGGCAGCCACTTAACCAACTGAACCACTCAGGCGCCCCCCCCCTTTTTAAAAAATATTTTACTTATTTATCTGACATAGTTTATACATAAGTTATACATCAAGTTTATACATAATTAAGAGTATAATATATAAAGAGGCTTAATTCATTTTAAAATCAATGACTTAAGGAATCATTCATGTTTTAAAACAACTATTTTAGGGGTGCCTGGGTGGCTCAGTCGGTTAAGCGTCTGCCTTCGACTCAGGTCATGATCCCAGGGTCCTGGGATTGAGCCCCACATCGGGCTCCCTGCTCCGTGGGAAGCCTGCTTCTCCCTCTCCCACTCCCCCTGCTCGTGTTCCCTCTCTTGCTATATCTCTCTGTCAGATAAATAAATAAAATCTTTAAAAAAAATAAAACAACTATTTTAATATTAAAAAAATTGATGCCTATATTTATAGGTACAACCTCTTCCAAGAAGAGGTTGGTGATGGCTTTAAGACACCTCTTAAAAGTGCAAAAGATGGGGCAACAGAGACATAGAGGGAACACAGCAGGGGGAGTGGGAGAGGGAGAAGCAGGCTTCCCGCGGAGCAGGGAGCCCGATGTGGGGCTCCATCCCAGGACCCTGGGATCATGACCTGAGCCTAAGGCAGACGCTTAACCGACTGAGCCACCCAGGCGCCCCTAAAATAGTTGTTTTAAAACATGAATGATTCCTTAAGTCATTGATTTTTTTTTTTAAGATTTTATTTATTTATTTGAGAGAGAGAGAATGAGAGAGAGCACGAGAGAGGAGGGTCAGAGAGAGAAGCAGACTCCCTGCCGAGCAGGGAGCCCGATGCGGGACTCGATCCCGGGACTCCAGGATCATGACCTGAGCCGAAGGCAGTCGCTTAACCAACTGAGCCACCCAGGTGCCCTAAGTCATTGATTTTTTAAAATGAATGAAGCCTCTTTATATATTAAGGTACTCTTAATTATGTATAAACTTTAGCTTAAGGTTTATTCATAATTATATCATTGCATTATGGTCATAATGTAGAAGGTAAAATTAAAAAGCCATTATCTGGGGCGCCTGGGTGGCTCAGTCGTTAAGTGTCTGCCTTCGGCTCAGGTCATGATCCGAGGGTCTTGGGATCCAGTCCCACATCGGGCTCCCTGCTCAGCGGGAAGCCTGCTTCTCCCTCTCCCACTCCCCCTGCTTACGTTCCTGCTCTCGCTGTCTCTGTCAAATAAATAAATAAAATCTTTAAAAAGCCATTATCTGGAATATTTGTGAATAAGCTGTTTTCCATAGTGAAGCTGTTAAAATACTTAACCAGGGAACTTGCTTTTTTGAACTTACGACCTTGCTCTAGTCACTTCAATTCTTTAGTCCTCTTGTCAAATCTATAAAATCAGAAGATTGGACCAGATTAGGGTTCCTGAAAACTTCAAAAGTCTGTATAGGAATTACCACATTGGCTAACATGTTGCTATTGTATGGTGTAGGTATATCTCTGGAGAGAGTGGTATACATTTAACATTGTAAAAACTTAAGTAATAGCAGGTACCGTATTAAGAGTATTTAGCAGGGCTTTCCCAGTTAGTATATGCTTTTTTATTTCGGTACTAACAAAGCATAGTTTTATGCTCTCACATTGTGTGTTTAGAAAGTATGTAATATCATTTTTAACACCGAACTTGGCAACATTTCAGCTTTTCTAGAACTTTGTTTTCTAAAAGATTTAAGAATTTAGGAAGTGCCTATGCACTGTTCATGTTTCTACCAGCACAATGGTTTGTTACTATCAGAGACACTAAGCAAGGGGGCACCATATGGAAGAGTTGTCTTTTCTGATGCCTCAGAATGTTAACTTTTTTGTGCTTAATTAGCAATATGATATTCATAAATTCATTAAAATGTTTTTGAAACACTATTTTCATTTCTCATTTGATCTCTGAACTGTATTGAGGGTAGGGTGAAGAGGCTGGTGTGAATGTCACATTGCCTTCTTTGAAAGTAATCTTCAAGATCTATGGTTTTAATTAGTTTAATATGCTTGCACTTAGAGGTGGAAATATGTGAAAATTGTTACCTGTTTTATTAAACTTAAGCAGACGAGAACTTTCCATCTTTTTTTTTTTAAGATTTTTATTTATTTGAGAGAGAAAGAGAGCACAAGCAAGGGGAGAGGCAGAGGGAGAGGGAGAAGCAGACTCAGCAGGGAGTCGGTTGTGGGGCTGATCCCAGGACTCTGGGATCATGACCCAAGCCGAAGGCAGACGTTTAACCAACTGGGCTACCCAGGTGCCCCTCCATCTTTATTTCTTAGTCCTGAACTGAGGATGCTCCCTCTTAATAATGGATTCTGTTTATTAAGAAAGAAAAGAAACATTTTATTAGTAAAATGCAACTCAGGCAGATCTAGGGAATAGGTTCTGTTTCAATTATGGAATAGACTCAGAAAGTGGTTACTGACTGGTAGGCTCTGGGAAAATTTACTGACTATAGGGCACCTGGGTGGCTCAGTCATTAAGCGTCTGCCTTCGGCTCAGGTCATGATCCCAGGGTCCTGGGATCGAGTCCCACATCAGGCTCCCTCCTTGGTGGGAAGCCTGCTCTCCCTCTCCCACTCCCGCTGCTTGTGTTCCTGCTCTCATCTCTGTCAAATAAATAAAATCTTAAAAAAAAAAAAGAATTTACTGACTACAGATAAAAATGAGCAATATTCCATGTGAGCAGCAGTACATATAGGAGGAGGGTACTGAAGTTTAGGCAGAGTCTAGTTCTGCTCATGCCTTGATTTACTAGTATTATTTCCATTTGATAATGTAGTCCTGGGCCAGGCCTTGTGCATGGTGTTGAAGATACAGGGTACTGAATTTAGAGAGTTTACAGACAAGTTTATGACAACGAAAATAAGATTCAACAAAGGAGGATCATTTAAGCTTTAGAGAGTCAAGGTGAAGTTCCCATAGAGTGTACTCTGGCTATTTGAATCTTTAAGGACACAGAGGAATTAGCCAAGGGAAGCAGAGAGGGCAAAGACCTGCTAATCTTAATAGTTTAAAAGATTTACTGTCTACTTTTTGAAGACTGAGTACTTTGTTGACCTCATACTGTGTGAAACTTCTAAATCTTCGAATGTCATAAATTACTGCATTATTTATTGCCTAATTGCAAATACTGTGTCCTTTATCATATATTTTAGTAATTAGTTGCCTATGTCCTTGTCCTGTCCCCTTTCCTATCCTTCATGTTACTTTAAGATGAATATCGAAATTATTTTATGTATGAAACTACAAGATTAAACTTTTTATGTATGAATTCATTACCTCTTAGGTTTTTTTTTTTTTAAGTTTTATTTATTTATTTGAGAGAGAGAATGAGAGACAGAGAGTACAAGAGGGAAGAGGGTCAGAGGGAGAAGCAGACTCCCCGCTGAGCAGGGAGCCCGATGTGGGACTCGATCCCGGGACTCCAGGATCATGACCTGAGCCGAAGGCAGTCGCTTAACCAACTGAGCCATCCAGGCGCCCTCCTCTTAGGTTTTTATGAAGTATATTTGTTACAGAAGTTTACATATTTTAGCATTTGCTATTTTAAAATACATACAAAACTATGATATTGTGGGTAAACATTGAAAACAACTGTATTTCTCTCTGCTTAGAAAAAATATATACATGAACATTTTTTTAATTTTTTTAAAAGATTTTATTTATTTATTTGACAGAGAGAGACACAGCGAGAGAGGGAACACAAGCAGGGGAGTGGGAGAACGAGAAGCAGGCTTCCCGTTGAGCAGGGAGCCCGATGCGGGGCTCGATCCCAGGACCCTGGGACCATGACCTGAGCTGAAGGCAGACACTTAACGACTGAGCCACCCAGGCGCCCCTACATGAACATTTTAAAAGTTATAGCTTAAGTGTCAGGATTTTATGCA